GGGGAATTTTAAGGATTCTGGATGGGATTTCGGAGAGTTTGCTTGTCCTGACTGGGGATTTGGGATGGATTTCGGACAATTTGTAGGATTTTGCGGGATTTGACAGGATTTTGTGTGATTTTCCCCTCAGAAAGTGTCCCCGGCCGGGCTCCCCACACGCTCGGCCCACCCCGCCCGCTTCTCCCCCGATGACAAATTCTCGCGGCACCGCCTGGCCCTGAAACGGAGATTCGGGGTCCTGCTCACCCAGCAGGGCCGGGCTCTGCTCTGAGGGACCCCAAAAAACCCCAAAAACACCCCAAAATCCCCGGAGAGACCCCAAAATCCCCCCCGGAGAAGATGGAGCACAGTCAAACCCGCTGGACTGAACGGCATGGAAGGGAGGGGTTAAACAGGAGGAAATTGTGAATATTAAAGGATTCGGAGGTGTCTGAGTGTTGGTGGTCAAAGAAATTTGGGGTTTTTTCGTTGTTTTGGGGGATTTTCCTTGGTTTTGGGGGCTTTTTGGGGTGTGGGAGGGAATCAATGGCGATCTGTGGGGCGCGGGGGATGATGGGAGATGTATGCGTGAGTATTACGGGGTTCTATGGAGCGCGGGGAATGATGGGAGTTGGAGGCGGGTATAATAGGGCTCTATGGGGCGCAAGGCATGATGGGAGATGTAGGCGCGGGTATAATGGGGCTCTATGGGGCGCGGAGGACGATGGGAGTTTTATGAGCGGGTATAACGGTAATCAATGCGGCGCGGGGGATAATGGGAGATGTAGGCGCGGGTATAATAGGGATCTATGGGGCGTGAGGGATGATGGGAGTTGTAGGCGCGGATATAATAGCGATCTATGGGGCGCGGGGGGTGATGGGAGATATAGGCGTGCGTATAACGGAACCCAGTGGGGCGCGGGGGATGATGAGAGTTATATGAGCGGGTATAACGGTAATCAATGCGGCGCGGGGGATGATGGGAGTTGGAGGCATGGCTATAACGGGGCTCTATGGACCGCGGGGAGTGATAGGAGA